ATATATATATATATATAGATATTTATATGTATATATATATATGTATATCTATATATATATGTTAATGATAAAAAGATTACACATAATATATTGCATGCAGATTTCCTTGTAGGTATGAATATGCATATCTATCTATAAATATAAATATGTTTATAGATATATAAATATATAAATTTAAGTATATATATAAATATAAATATATATACATAATATATGTACATATATATATATATATATATTTATGCAAGGTATGCATAGGCATTACGCTGTATATATAAAGATGTGCTAATAGCTATATGGATATAAATAGAAAGACATAATTAAATAAATAAATAGCAAATAACAAATAGATAAAAATATAAATAAAGATACAAAGATATACAGAAGATAATTAGCAACAGAAGAGTGTAGCTCTTCTTTTTTTTTTCTTCATTCAAACCCTCACAACTTTGTCTCCGTGAAGGAGAAAAAACTGTAAACCCTAAACCCTAAACCCTAAACCCTTACAGGGGTAATGGCTGGGGTGCTTTGTCTCCTTAAAGGAGACAAGACCCCAAACAAAAGCTTCCTAGGGTTTAGGGTTTAGGTTCAGCGCTCGTTTTAAGGGTTTAGGGTTTAGGGTTTGCCTTCTGCAGCGTTGAGGAGACAACAGAGACTGCTGCTGCTGTCTTTATTATTATTATTATTATTATTATTTATAGTATTTCTATTGCTATTTATATTGTTGTTGTTTATATTATTACTCTTATTATTATATTATTACGAATATTATTATTATATTACCGTTCGTCTTAATTATTATTTCTATTAATATTATTATATTTCTATTACTCTTTATTATTATTTTTTAAATTAGTTATTACTAATAAATATTATTTTTATTGCTCTTATTTATCATTCTCATTTGTTATTATATATTATTATTACTACAATTTGAACATAAACTTTATTATATTTATTTTATTTATATCTATCGAGCGCCAGTATATACTTCCTATTATTTTTTTATTTGTTTGCGGTGTATACTCTTTCCTAAATGCTGACTTATTAAATAGATTTATATAAAGGCGCTGCTGCTGCACCAGTGCATCTGCTGCAGCTGCAGCAGCAGCTGCAGCTGCAGCAGATGTACTGGAACTCAGCAGCTGCTGCCGCAGCTGCTGAGTTGCTGTATAAGCTACCATAGTTGGTGCTGAAGGTTTGCTGCTGCTGCTACTGCTACTGGTGCTGTTGCTGTTGCTGCTGCTGTTGCTTGCTATTGCTGTTGCTGCTTCTGCTGGTGTTGCTGTTGCTTCTTTTGCTGTAGCTGCTGTTTCTTTTGTTGTTGCTGCTGCTACTTCTTGTGTTGTTGCTGCTGTAGCAGCAGCAGCAGCAGCAGCAGCAACGGCAGCAGCAGCAAAGAAAGACTGTGGCACGGTTCTCCGGAGCAGCGTATGCCCCATCCAGCAGCAAACACCTTCTCCCCACAGTAACAGCAGCAGCAGCAACAACATCAAAAGCAGCAGCAGCAACAGCAGCAGCAACAACAGCAGCTGCAGAAGCAACAATTGGATCTTACAGTGCACGGAGTTAGTGTAGCTGCACATACACCGCAAACAACAAATCTAGCTAAGCTTTTCTCCGCTTTTTCTCGAGAAAGAAATTATATTATATATAATTTATATAATATATTTAACAAATATTAAAAGAAAAGCAAAAGAAGGAAAAGAGAAGAAAAAGCAACAACATCAGCTGCGGGCCTCAGCAAACCGAGCAGCAGCAGGAGCAGCAGCAGCAGCAGGAGCAGCAGCAGCAGCAGCAGCAACAGCGGCAGAAAGATTAGTCTCCTCGACTATTTATTTGTTTTATTTGCTTTTTCTTGTTTTTATCTTCTTCTTTATTTCTTTCTGTTGCAAGTCGTGTGTATATACCCTCTGCATGCACTACAGCACGGACAGGATTTCGTAAGGAGCCCATCGATCTGCTGCTGCTGCTGCTGCTGCTGCTGCTGCGCCTGTAGGTTCTTTCTATGCACTTATTGCTTGCGTCTTTCCTGTCTGTCTCTCTTATAGGCTGGGTCTAACCGAACATAAGATTTTTATATAATTATTCAAGAGAAGCAGCATATAGGAGGTGAGAGCTTTTCTCTTTACTTTTGTGTTGTCTCAGCAGCAGCAGCAGCTGCTGCTGCTGCTGCTGCTGCCGCTGCTGCTGACTGTTGCAGCAGCTGCTGCTTTTTGCTGGTAGCTTTTCTTGCTTCTACTGTTCCTGCTAGGGCGCTGCTCTCTGTCTCTTTCTGTCTTCTTCTGTCTCTTTTTATCTCTCTCCTCTTCATCTGTTATACTCTCTGCTGCTGCAGCTCCCCTCTATCTTCTTCCCAGCAGCAGCAGCAGCAGCAGCAGCAGCAGCAGCAGCTGCAGCAGCTGCAGCAGGAGAGGATGTTGCGTTTTTCTTCGAGCGTTTATTATTTTTGCTTTCTTTTTTTTTCTATTGGGTTGCCTCTGAGGCTTCAGCAGCAGCAGCGGCAGCAGCAGCAGCAGCATCATTTGCTGCTATTGGTGTTGCTGTTGCTGCTGCTACTTGGGGGTGGAGACCGTGGGTATAATTTATATGGGGGCCCCCTTGGGGCCCCCAATATGGGGCCCCCCTCCTCCTCGTGTTTGGGGGTTTGTGGGGTGTGGGGTCTGGAGCGGGATCGTGTTGCAGCGCCGTCTCCCCGCGCCCGGCTGGAGGAGATGGTTGTGGGAACTACTTTAGGAGATTCAAGTTCAACATTACTTGGGGATAGTTGGGGTGTCTCCGGAGACAGCCAAGTTGTGAAGGTGAAGGATTTAAGCCCTGCTGATAGGTTTAGACGGATTATAGAAGAAGAGCAGCGTTTGTTTGAAGCAGAAGGAGGTGATGTTTCTTTAGAGCCTCCTGCTGCTGCTGCTGGTGCTGCTGCTTCATCGTCTTCTGCAGCAGAAGCAGCAGGTGCGCATTCTTCTTCTGCTGGAGTTCTGCTCTACCCTGTACAAACACCCCATCGGCGTCGCCCCTCTAGGAGAACTTCTGCTGCAGCAAAAGCAGCAGTAGGGCTGCTGCCGTCTGCCTTTCTCTTCTCTCAAGTTATGGCGGGGGCGAGGATGAAGGAGAAAGTTTTAGATGGGACCTCTTTCAGAGGATTTGATTTGCCGGACGGACTCCCAGATTCACCTAATTCACTCAGTAAGCCCACCAACTCCTGCTGCTGGTGCTGCTGCTGCTGGTGCTGCTGCTGCTGGTGCTGCTGCTGCTGGTGCTGCTGGTTCCGTTTGCTGTTGCTGCTGCTGCTGTTGCTGTTGCTAATGCTGTTGCTGTTGCTGCTGTTGCTGTTGCTAATGCTGTTGCTGGTGCTGGTGCTGTTGCTGGTACTGCTGCTGCTGCTGCTGTTGCTGTTGCTGTTGCTGTTGTTGCTGCTTGTGCTGTTTGTTGGTTTCTGTCTCCTCTTTGTCGTTATCCCTTAACCGTCTCCTTTTTGTTTATTTTTATTTTCCTTCTGATATATATATATATTTATGTATGATATATATATATTTATGTATAATATATATATATATATTTATGTATGTATATGCATATTATCTACTGCTTGTTGTTGTTTGTGTGTCTGTCTCTTCTTCACAGCAACAGACGGCTTTGAGTCTCCTCTGTTCCCTGGGTCTCCAACAACAGTAAAGTCAGCATTATCAGCAGCATCAATAGCAGGGTCAGGAGCAGCAACAGCAACAGGCATGGACGTGTATGAAGAAGAAGACAGACTGAACAAGTGGAAGCACGCATTGACTTCAAAGCCTGCAATTGCAGCTTCGGGTGTACTTGCAGCTGCTGGGGGTTTATACCTTTTACGATATTTGCTGCAGCAATGGCGGCGGCGGCGACATCGCAGCAGCAGCAGCAGCAGCAGCAGCAGCAGAGGTGTGCTGTCTGCGCAGACAGCTCGATGGGACTTAGAAAGGTGTTTGCTTATTATTGATATCCAAGGATCTCAAGAAGAAGGTCTTATAAGAGGGAGATATGCGCCGGGCTCAGCAGCAGTACGTGTAGATCTGCATAGACAGAGCGCTGTCTTATCTTATTTTGTCTACCCTTCTGTCTTAACGTCTCCGTTTAGGGGGTTGTTAAGAAAGAAAGAGAAAATAGAGGAAGTGCTTTATCTACCTACAGACTTCTGCTATGTTTCGGCTGCTGGAGCTGCTGCTGGAGCTGTTGCTGCTGCTGCTGATACTGCTCCTGCTGCTGCTGCTGATACTGCTGCTGCTCCTCATGCAGAGTACTCCAGCAGCAACAATAATAATAATAGCAGGAACAGCAGCAAAGGAAAGAGCAGCAAGAGCAAAGACAGCAAGAACGCCAGCAGCAGCACCAAGGGAACCAGCTCCAGCACCCACAGCAACAGCAGCAGCAACGTGAAGAGCAGCAGCAGCAGCAGCAGCAGCAGCAGCAGCAGCAGCAGCGGGAAAAGTTACCTGAGGGAATATGAGAAGAAGAGCTCGTTTGGGCGTAGGCGTACTGTTGCAGTTGTTGTGCAGGCAGAGAGATCAAGAGGGTTAGAATTGTTAGCAGCAGCAAAGGGGGCAGCAGCAGCAGCAGCAGCAGCTGGACATCCTCCTGCAGATCTAGCAGATGCATTGCTTATGAAACACATAGGTGCAGCAGCACCACCAGTAGAGCTCGAGACGACCCCGCATCCTGCTGCTGCTGCAGCTGCAGCTGGCGGCGGTGGGGACACAGATCCGGGTGAAGCAGCAGCAGCAGCAGCAGCAGCAGCAGTAGCAGCACTGGAAGAAAAAACAGAGATAGGCAAAGGGTGCGGAGGCGCTACCTTAACTGCAGAAGCTGTCTCTGTTTCTTATAGCGGAACTACTTGCTGCGTGCATGCAGCAGTTGAGCATTTAGGGGGAGTTAATGTATTTGCTGATGTTGCAGCACAGGCGTTAGTTATTGCTGCTGCTGAAGACACCCCAGCAGCAGCAGCAGCAGCAGCAGCAGCAGCAACAACACCAGCAGCAGCCGCAGCGTTGGGACCGGAGTGCCGCATCTTGCTGCCAAGACACTGCTATTTAGCAGCAGCAGCAGATGCATATTTTTCTTCGTCTTTGTTTACTTTAAATATACACGAGGAGACAGAAGAAGATCTATTACGGGGTGGAGACAAACAAGCTATTAGCAGCGCTGCTGCTGAGGGGGCGGTAGTTCCTGCTGACGCAGCAGCAGCAGCAGCAGCAGCAACAGCAACCGCAGCAGCAGCAGCAGCTGAAGGGATTAGTATAAAATCAAGTGAGAGGGAATGGAGAGGGAGAGACAGCAGCAAAGGAGACAGCAGCAAAGGAGACAGCAGCAAAACAGCAAACAAGACGTATCAGCATGTTGAGGTTCGCTTCAGGCCTCTCCCTAGACCGAAGTTAAATGTTTCTCTAGGTATGCAGGAGCCACGGCACCTGCGCAATTAATGCTGCTGCTGCTGCTGCTGCAGCTGCAGCAGCTGCTGCTGCAGGAGGACAAGACAGCGCACTGGCAGCGTTGAGGGTTTTGGTGTCTCCTGAGTCCTCCTGAATTTTATTTTTTTGTGTTATTCCGCTCTGTGTCTTATCGTCCGTTTGTTTATAACCCAAGGAGGCTCTAGCTGCAGCAGCAGCAGCAGCAGGAGCAGCAGCAGCAGGAGCAGCTGCTACTGCCTTGCCTGTACACTTGAGGATGCGAAGCCCACCATCAGCATCGGCGTTGGAGTGGTGTATGTCGCAGCAGCAGCAGCAGCTGCTGCTGCTGCTGTTGCTGCAGCAATATGTCTCTATTTTGCTGCTGTTGTTTAGATCAGCAGCATGCAGGGGTTTGTTATTCATGCAGTTACGGTTTCTTTATGATGTTCTTTATGTATGATGTTCTGTCTGTCTCCTGTCTGTGAATGAAAAGACGAAAGGAGACAGGAGAGGAGCAAGAGCAGAGTTTGCTTGCAGCAGAGACAAAGACATAGAGATGTATGTGTTGTAGAGAGAGAGAAGTACTGCTCTCTCTGCAATAATAGTAATAATAATAAAAATTAATTTGCTCTCAGTGTATGTACATACAGTAGAAGACGCATTCTTATTACTTTAAATAGGGCTGTCTTTGCTAAAGAATAATAGCAGCAAGAAACATCTGCTGCTTGATGTGTATATTCACCGAATGAGGTGTATATATACACCCCACACCCCACACCCCACACCTGTCGGGGTGTACAGAGACACCCCAGGGGACATTATAGAAGATGCTTAAGGCATTGTTTTGCAGCTCCTTTTATTATTTAAATATATTTAGTATTAAATATTTATTTTCCTTCCCTAATACAGGGAAAAGGGGTGTTGATGCATGCATGCATGCATGCATGCATGCATACATACCCTTCTTTTTCGTTATCACTGCAAGGCAACAAATTTTAATCGTTCTTTGCTGCTGAACCTCTCTTTTTCATTTATATATATATTTTATTTATATTCATCTAGAGCGTCTATGTGTATATATATATACATATATACATATATATATATATATATATGCATCTACATTATATATATACAATTATATTAACATAGATAAAGCAGGTGAATAGGTGGATTGATATACATTCATATTATATATATTAAATAAAACTATACAGATAAATAGATAAGGAGATAGATAGACAGGAAGATATCCATACATATTATATATATAATATACTGTATATATAACATATATATAAAATAATAATAAATATAAAATAATAATTAATGCTACGAATATACACTGGTAAAGGATTAGAAGAAAAACGTTCAGCCGTTTATATTTTGTTTCTCCTTGGTTTATATTTATAAATAAATAAAATATTATTAATTAACTAATTTTATATAATATATATATTATTAGTGCGTGTTATTAGGTACGACTAATAATATAGTAGCATATAATAACAAGAAGCATTTTATTAATAAAACAGCAAATAAATAAATATAAAAAATATTATTTTAAAGCAGAAACGAAGAACAACAGCAAATAAATATTTAAATTTATAATCAACAGCAAACCCTAAACCCTAAACCCTAAACCCTAAACCCTAACCATCAATCCCAAACTATATGAAGGTAAAGCAGCAAATGCATAAGAAAGCAGCAGCAGCAGGTAAAGTCTCGTTAATAACAACAAATATATTTTTTCTTTTTTCTTTGTGAGTCTATACTTCATACTTAGCTGTTTTAATGTAAAAATAATTTGTAATAATACTAAGAAGGAGTAATATTAGCAGTTAGTAATAGTAATACAATAACAAACAGTAGAAAAAGATTAATTATTATAGTAATAATAATAATAATAGCAAATGTTATCCTTGTTCTATTGGATATAAGAAGCTAATAGTATTTTTATATTTTCTTCTACTTCTATTTGTAATAAAACATATTTTCTTTTAATTTATTATTTAAATAATAATACTAACGGAAGTAACACCACTACTACCATTACTAATAAATAATAATAATAAATAATAATAATAATACTACTAATAATAATAATAATACTAATACTAGTAATAATAATAATAATAACGAAGATAAGAATAATACTACCAGCAAATAATAAATAATAAGACTAATCGTACTAAGTATAATAATAATAATAATAATAATTAATAGTAGCAATAGTAATAAAAACAAAGATAATAATAACAATAAAGATATTAATAAAGCCACTGTAAACAACAACAAGGCGTTTATAATGAATTGTTAAAGCGGGGCTTCCGCAGCAACACCGCAAGAGAGCAGAAAAGAGAGACAACATAATAAGTGCTGTCTCTCTTTCTTTCTTTATACCCTTTCTTTAATCAAACATCACCCCCGCGTCCCTGTTTGCATGCATGCATGCATGCATAGCATACACGTATTCATGCATGCATGCATTGCACACATTTCGCATGCAATCATCCACGCATCGATTTCTGCATGCATGCATGCATTTATTATATCCGCATGCATGCATGCATGGATGCATGCGTGCATGCATGCAAGGGTGTTGTTGTTTGGTGAGGCAGCAGGTGATGAGATCCCTCTGCAGCCAGCATTAGAAGCTGAGTAACAGCCCCATTCCCAACAGCAAGAAAAAGATATGTTTTTTTTCTTTCTTCTTCTTAAAGTAAAACAAAACTCACAAGACCCCCCGACATAACTACAAAATGCAATCAAACACGCACACACTTCGTCGCCCCTTGCTGCTCTTCGTGCTGCAGCAGCAGCAGCAGAAGTAGTAGCAGCCGCTGCTATTGCTGCAGCAACTGCAGCAGCAGCAGAAGTAGTAGCAGCCGCTGCTATTGCTGCAGCAACTGCAGCAGTAGTTGCTACTGCTGGAGCAGCAGCAGTCGCCGCTACTACTGTAGCGTAGCAGCAGCAGCAACAGTAGCTGCTACAGCTGCAGCAGTAGCAGCCGCTGTTATTACTGCAGCAGCAGCAACAGTAGCTGCTATTGCTGCAGCAGCAGCAGGGTAACGTTTTCTGCTGCGCCCGTTAACATGCATTATTGCTTTCTCTCAGCAGCAGCATCTGGCGCTGCATCTCTATGCATGCAAGTGCATCTCCTCCGTGCATGCATAAATGGATGCATGCGTGCATTAATGTATGCATGCATGCATTTAGAAGCGAGCAGGGCCTAAAGGCATAATCCCCTTGGGGCCCCCCAGGCGGGCATAGGGCCCCCCACCCTAAAGGCCCCCCATCTGAGTTAAACGCATGCATGGATGCATAGATGCATGCATGCATGCATAGATGCATGCATGCATGCAATTAGAAGCGAGCAGGGCCTAAAGGCATGCCATTGGGGCCCCCAGGGCGCGAATAGGGGCCCCCCCTGAAGCCCCCTCCTCTGGGCCCTCCTCCCCTGGATCCCCACCTACCCCCACCTCCACTGTCTCCTCCATACCCCACAAGGGCTTCTAATTCAGGCGGGACAGTTTGATTCGCTTCTTTTAAAACTCTCACCAAGTCTCGCGCAAGACGCTGCTTGTCTGTTGTAAAGAATGTGTAAGCATTCCCTGTACCCAACAGCAGCAGATACAGCAGCAGCAGCAGATACAGCAGCAGCAACAGATACAGCAGCAGCAAACCAATCAATAGAATAAACAGGTCAGGCGACAAATCGAAACGAGAGAAATCCTCCTCATATATATATATATGCAGAGCAACAAAGAGACACAGAGAGCGACGAAGAGACGGAGAGATAGAGGCAGAGAGAGAGATAGATAGATAGATAGAGAGATAGAGAGAGATAGATAGAGATAGAGAGAGACAGAGAGACAGCAAGAAAATAAGCGACAACAAACAACAAAGAAGGGCTACTAACCCTTTGCTCCAGCTCTTCCTGTACGACCAATGCGGTGTACGTAGTCTTCGATTTGATTTGGCATATCAAAATTAATAACATGCCGAATGTCTTTCACGTCCAAACCGCGAGAAGCCACGTCCGTCGCAACCTATATAAAGCAGCAGCAACAGCAGCAGCAGCAGCAGCAGCAAGTTAAGCAGCAGCAGCAGAACAAGAAGCAGCAGCAGCAGTAGCAAGAGCAGCAGCACCAGCAAAACCAACAGCTGCAGCAGCACAAGCAGCAGCAGAACGAACACCAAAACCAGCAGCAGCAGAACGAGCAACAGCAGCAGCAGAACGAACAGCAGCAGCAGCAGCAGCAGAACGAGCAGCAGCAGCAGAACGAGATTGAGTTAGCTTACCATGATAGGGTTTCTACCTTGTTTGAATTCGTCTAAGACCCACGTTCTTTCTTCTTGCTTTTTGTCTCCGTGCAGAGACAGCGCAGGCCAGCCCTCCATTCGCAGGTCGCGAGTTAAGTTATCAGCACCTGCAAATAAATAAATATAAAATAAATAAAATTAATTAATTTATTGAAACAAGGAATACAAAACAATAAGAAGAAGAAGACTAAGAAGAAGAAAAGAAAGAATAGCAGCACCATCAACAAGCAAAGCAATTAAAACAACACAAAAAGCAGCAACAAACAGCAGCAAACAGCGTGATGAGAGGATTAAAGCAGCAACAAGGCAGCAGCAACACCAGCAGCTCTCCGCAAGGAGCGCATGCAGCAGCAGCAGCAGCAACAGCAGCGCATGCAGCAGCAGCAGCAACAGCAGCGCATGCAGCAGCAGCAGCAAATGTCTCGAACCTCTTTTGGTCTCAGCGAAGACTAAAATCTTCGAGCCATCCATAATACGTCGCAACAACGACATCAGCTGTCCCCTCTTTTCATACTCCTGCATGCATGCATGCATGTATGTATGCACAGCAAAGCCCCAAAATGAATGCAAGAACTAGGGAATAATAAAATAACCCTAACGCTACACCCATAAACCCTAAACCCTAAACCCTAAACCCTTGAACCGTCCACGCACGCTCCTAGCCCACGCAACCAACTTAATATACAATACATATATACACAAACGCATGCAAAAAGGAGCAAACACAAAACATGCATGCATGCATGCATGCAGCAAATGAATGGGAAGAAGGAAGCCTCCAAGTAAAAAAGAAGCAGCGCCACCCAACGGCACTCAAAAGGAATACAACAAAAAATATAAAGACGAACAAACCAACACGAAATGCAGCAGAAAAGAGACGCCAAATAAAACCAAAAAAGATAAAAGACACGCAGAAGACACCACAAGATATGCATGCATCCAGCCCCAAACCAATCAACATGCATGCGCCCCGCCCGCCCA